AAGCAGCAGATGTGATTGTGATTTGTTTGGGAAGAAAAAGGAAAGCAACATATTTGGCATGATTTGAGATTAAATATTTGGGATGTATTTTGAATTATTTATTTGTAATTTTTTATTTATTTATAGATGTTAATTAATGTTATATTTATTTTAGGAGGTTTTATTATTTTTAGAATATTAGATTTAGAATTTTCAATCAATTTGTAATTAGTCTATAAAAGGGTGCTTATGACCCTTATTCGAGAAGTTGAATATTTTTGTTATTTTGATAATTATAATTGAGAACTTGAGGGTTACTCTTTTGTGAAAATCCTAACTTTCTGTTTAGCCACTTTTCTATGCGCTTTCGGCATCATTTGGTATCAGAGCACTAGGTTGCCTTCAACCAATGGCTGAACAGAACCGTAGAGGTCGACGACAGCAGAGTCATGAGGGTAGGGAACGTGGATTCGTTCCTGAAGAATATAGACAACTGCGTCAGATTGACCCGCGAGATATAGAAAATGAAGAGCTCGGAAGGCGGATCCATGATTTGAAGCAACAACTTGAGCAAGCGTTGGACAAGAAAATCCAAGTTTTGAAGCAACTATGTGTGCGGACATAGAGAAAGATAATTCAAGATTTGGAGCGACGACTCGTGCGAGTATGCGTGAAAATTCAAATTTTGAAGCAAACTCTTGTGGAGGTGCAGAGCATGGAAATTCAATATTTGAAACGGTGACTTGCGTGGACAAAGTTGTGCATTGAATCCAAAGAAGGAATAGAATTAGATGACGCATCTGATGACGAAGAAGAGGACGTCAATCCCTTGAGGATTCTAAAACAGGGACAGAATTGGGAAGTACGACCTGAAAATCAGTCCACTTTTCAAGATATAGAGATGCAAATCAGCATTCCTGACTTTGAAGTCTATGATCATAATCTAGTTTGTGATGATGATCCGATCTATGATGATAATCCAATTTATGATGATTATCTAATTGTTGATAATTATCCCATTTATGATGATTACCCATCTTATAATGAAGATTCAGTTTATGATGATAATTCAGTCTATAATAAATCTGACGGTGAATCAGATTATGAAGATCTAATAAAGGAAGATTTATCATTTGAATTTTTATTTAAAGAAATTGAGATCAGTGGAGATAAACAAGATTCAAGGACGAATCTTTTCCTAGCAGAGGAGAATGATGCACTTACAATTGGCCCATTGTACATGGCTCAACCATTGATTCAAGAAGCTCGTAGTCAACTAGAGTTGTGGCCCAATAAGTATGACCCAATTGTTGAAAGAGGCAATGATTTAAAATATAATAAATTACAATCGAATCTAAGTCCGAGTAAAGCAACAAATGTGATTGTGATTTGTTTGGGAAGAAAAGGAAAACTACATATTTGGCATAATTTGAGATTAAAGATTTGAGATGTATTTTGAATTATTTATTTGTAATTTTTTATTTATTATTAGATGTTAATTAATATTCTATTTATTTTAGGAAGTTTTATTATTTTTAGAATTTTAGATTTAGAATTTTCAATCAATTTGTAATTAGTCTATAAAAGGGTGCTAATGATTCTTATTCGAGGAGTTGAATATTTTGTTATTTTGATAATTATAATTGAGAACTGGAGGGTTACTCTTTTGTTAAAATCCTAACTTTCTATTTAGCCACTTTTCTATACGTTTTCGGCATCATAACACTACAATTTCCAAAAAAAAAAACATCAAGTTGTTTTTGTTGGGAATCTGCAAAATGAAACATCAAATTTGTAATCCATTTAGCGTGGAAAAGACTTATTTACCTTTACAACAACTAGAATCATAAAAAATCACAAATGACAAAACTGAATCTGTAGGAGGAACCTTCATTCAACAACTTCTGGCACATGATGGTACCATGAAAATATAGGAAAGTATAGCCTAGAAACTCTGATCTCTCAAAATTTGTCATCTTTGAAAAGCCAAAAGAACTTATCCACGTTTCTAGCAGACTAGGAACAGCTGGCAAAATGAGCCTCTCAACTCCTGATTGCATGAGCTTCTGATGAAAGAAAAATAAAGTTAGAAAATGATAACTTCAAAAATAACTGTAACCACCGAGATTGTAATTATTTCTATTTTTCATCAAGCCTCGTTACTTTAAAATTACACAAATTCAACATACCCTTTTGAAATCATTGTTAGTTACCATAGCTAGATTATACGGCTTGCTATATCATATTGTTTAATAAGATTTTAAAAATCAACCGAGATACCAGAAATGAGAAAGTGGTAGAAAGGTCCACAAAAAATAGATAATAATAAAATTTACTAATCCAAAAACATGAAAAGTTTGATTAAATAGTCAATCTGAAATTCATTCAGAGATGTAGCTTTTGTTAAGAACTAAAGTGCTACAATCTGAAATACTCGTCAATCTGGATACTTTTTCTTTTTTTTGATAACAATCTGGATACTTTTTTATTGTGATAAGAAAATCACACATTTACTAATTATTTTGAGGATACAGTAATCTGCTACCAAAAAGAGGTATTTCTGCTACCTTCTCTCCATAGACAGTAAAAAATTGAAAAAAAAAAAAAATCAAGATGACCATAACACAAGGCATAAACCAAATAGAACATGGAATCCTACATTCAAACAAAGCATAGCACTTGGTAGTAATTGATCCTATACCCACCTAACAGTTTACTCACTAATAAGTTCTTCATTTCTCTCCACAAGTACGGTATGGAAACCATGGAAATTAATCGATTAAGCTCTGAGCTATATAAAGTTCCAAAGTACAGATATCAGGTATTGACCCAGAGATATAACAATCATGTAGCACGGTTTAAAGACAGTTATCATGATCATGGACAGAGTAAATATGGTAGATGTAAAAAAAACATAATATATAAAGAATTATAATAAAACATTTTTACCAGCAAAAAAATTTATTTATTGTATTTAAATTAAATAATTACGTATTTATGACAGTTTGGGAAATAAATACAAATGTATTGCACAATGTGACGCCACTTTTGGGCGTCACATGTGACACCCCAACGGGGCGTCTCACCCTAGGGGGAGACGCCCCATTGGGGCGTCACATTGTACACCCTATATAATCCCCCACCCCTCTATTCACTCTTCACACCTCTTCTCTCACTCTTCATATCTTTTCTCTTCAATTTAGTATTTGAATTTTATTTCTTATTCTATTTTAGAATGAGTTCTCGTCCTGATTCTGTTCGTGTTGTGTTATATTACAATGGTAGGAAGGAAGAAGGTTGACGAGGTGTCATGTTTGAAGGTGAAAAAAGGTCGACACGTATCCAACGCAACGCAATCATTGGCGAATTGCATCAGAGAATTCGGCAGAAGTTAAGTCTTCAAGGCAACCAATGTATCACTCAGATCACGACAAGGTTATGGCAATGTGATAAATACATTAGTTTGCAAGTGGTTGACGATGAAGACCTGGAGATGACAATGGAAGAATTTTCCAACCAGTCAAGGACAGATTTTCTGGAGTTGTATGTCGACATCGCCGCAACCGAGAATGTTCCGTTATCGGTGAAGTCAGTGGATTTAAATTCTCCCCGTCTTCCATCTTTGTTTTCCGCTCATGCGTCTCCAGTTGGTAACTGTTCTGAGGGAGAAGAAAATGATCCGACTTGGGAAATGAAAGACGAAGACGACGACAATGATGATGAAAATATCGCAATGGAAGAACGTCTTCTTGCGGAGGATGCTAGTGCTTCCGAAGGAGATGAAGCTGCTGAGATGGGTGCATCTCAATTCCCAATATTCCATGAACCAGTGGTCGCGCAAATGCCGCAGTTGCATGACGTTGCGTCTGCCCCATTAGATTTTCATGATGAAGGTAATTGAAATAACTTGTATATAGTTGAATTTTGCACCTGATATAATACCTGAATTAGGAAGTTTGTATTAAAAAGTTACAATCCGCAGTTGCAGGTGACGAAGCTGTAATTCCTTTTTGGGAAGGAATTCCAGATTATTCCTACATTGATTGGAGTTATCGGAGCGAACAAAAATCATGCACTGATGGTACGATCTCAGGATCGGGTTCAATACAAGGTCCGTGGCAACTAGGTGACAAGTTATTTGTCAATCAAGAATTTGCTACAAAAAAAAGATGTCCAAATGCCACTTAAGCACCACCTCATCAGGGAGCATCAAGAAGCAATTGTAATTGAGAGCACACCTGCAAAGTTATCCATGAAATGTTGTGTGTATGATAAGGGTTGCCCGTGGCGCGTTAGGGCCATAAAACCAGTGTTTGGTGAAAATTGGAAGATTACGAGATGGGGTGGAGATCACAATTGTTTAAATGAGCTCATTTCCCAGGGACATAGACAGCTCGATGCGGACGTTATAGCAGATCTCGTCATAGGTATGTATTTATTTATTTGTATGACATGTCAACGTTTACGTACTGCTGTGTAATTAAATTTTTTTGATGTTATTGAGCCTGGCTACTCTTCAATGCAGGGATGATAAAGGAAGAACCATCTGTGTCAATCTCTTTGGGGCAAGAAAGGATAACATCTAAATATGGCTTTAAAGTTTCCTACAGAAAGGCATGGTATGCGAAGTAGAAAGCGATGGCAATTATGTACGGTGATTGGGAGGAATCATATGCTTTTTTGCCAAGGTGGTGCGAATACATGCTTCCCTTTTCTCCAGGTTCATTTTATCATATCCAAACAAATAATCTTTATGCAGAGTAGAGCTCAGTGACTGGAAAAAATGTGTTTCATCGCATATTTTGGACGTTCAGACAATGTTGTGAGGCGTTCAAATTTGCCAAACCCGTCATACAAATTGATGGAACACATTTATATGGGAAGTACAAAGGCAAATTGTTGGTGACCACGACCCAAGATGGTAATGATGAATGTTTACCGATTGCTTTTGCCATTGTTGAAGGCGAGACCTTGGATGCATGGGACTTTTTTCTTGTTAATTTCGTGCGCATGTTACTGACATGTCAAACATATGTTTGATCTCCGATCGGCATCGTAGTATAATATCTGCTGTGGAGAAAAACCCTAATTGGCAGCCACCAAATGCACATCACGTCTTCTGTATTCGTTATATTGCAAGCAACTTCAATCAAAAGTTTCGGAATGAAGGTTTGAAGTGGATGTTAAAGAATTTAGGTATACTCATTGATTAGATGCGTATTTATTTATTTCCATTATGTTTCTCAATTTATGTTTATTTCGATGATGTCCATTATGTGCAGGTTATACTCCGACCATGGTTGATTTTGAAAGGAACCTTGCGAGCTTCCGTGAAAGTAGTCCTCAAATTGCTGAGTGGATTGATGCCATCCCTAAGGAAAAGTGGTCGCGTGCCTACGATATTGAAGGACGGAGGTACGGTCATATGACAACAAATTTGGCAGAATCTGTGAACAGGGTTTTGAAGGGGGCCAGAAATATGCCTATAACTGCATGGGTTAAGCATACATATAGCAGGTTGGTTCATTATTTTGTTGAGAGAGGAACAAATGCCGTTGCAAATCTTGAATCAGCTTATCGTCACTGTAAAAATGTTGTTGAATTGGTCAAGAAAAACCAGGTAGATGCAATAGGCCACCACGTTCGTGCATATAATGTGGAACATACCGTCTTCGAGGTTGATGCTGGTTGGGAGCGTTCATATTCTGTCAATCTCCCACAGATATTCTGTCAGTGTGGAAAGTTTAAGGCCTTTAAGTATCCATGTAGTCACGCTGCTGCTGCTGCTTTAAGTGTTAGGCAGAGTCCATTCACGTACGTAGACGATGTCTTCTTGACAACTAACTTGGTCGAGGCTTATTCTTTTCCGTGGGAGCCAATAGAAAATGAGGAAGCAATACCAGAAATTAGTGGTCCGAAGATTATTCTCGATGCCACTATGTTGCGTGCAAAAGGTCGTCCAAAGTCAACTCGCATCCGCAATGAGATGGACGAAGTTGAGACAAGTCAAAGCCGTATCCGGTGTGGACTGTGCAAGGAACGCGGGCATAATCGGCGAGGATGTCCAAATCGTGGGAGAAACGACTAAGATACTTAGAAATTTGTTTCTGCTGTTGGTTATTTTATTGCTTGAATTGTACTGTATTTTATGTTGGATTGATGCCATCTTTTATGTATGTTTTTATTCTCATACTATTAACCGTCTTGTTTAGTTACCGTATCATAAGTGCAATAAGGGCGACCAACAAAACATAAATACAAACTGCATGGTAAGTAGTCCAAATAAGTAGAATAATGTACAGTCCACAAAATAACAAGATTATAAAGTCTAAACCCTAATACAATAAAGCCCTAAATGGCAATGAAACTACGACCACGGTGGCCATGGCCTATGTCGTGCATCCCTATCTGGAAGTATACGTCTGTCCCAAACTGGGTCTCCCTGATGTGCCTGTGGCGGTGGAGTCTGGAAGTCATCCATCGCCGCACGCATGAAATCATCTGCGGGTCCTTGCACAGTCCCGTCAGTAGAGCCGGTGACGACAGCCCTGTCAGTAGGCAAGCCCAATATGCCTGCCACATCTTGCAAGGTGATAGTCATCTCTCACCTTGGGTCATGTGGAAAGTATGTGTCTCTGGTCTCCACCTCTCGACCAGAGCACTAATTAAAGGGGCATCGATCTGTGATAAATTAATACATTACAGCGTGTTAACGAATCGTATTGAATAATTACATAAATACAAAACAACGTAAATTGCATACCTGGATATGTTGCATCCGGGCAACATGTATAAATCCAGACTGTGTCAGGTAGTCTGCGGCAACCTCTGGGATAGCGCCGGTAGGTGGCCCCCCCGTTGGCTTCCCATGCCTGGTCTTTATTTTCCTGACATGCTCCGTATTCCATGCTCGCTGAGAAATATGAGCACGCTGCGTCCTTTTACGAAGGACGTCCCATCTGTACGGCCCAAGTATGATGTACATGCTGGGATCGGTAGGCTCTACATCCGATGCAGAACCCGATGAAGATGATGAATCAGCCATTACCCTCAACTATATCATATAAAACAACATTTAAATTAATCACATGTAATGCCTCATTTAATTTACAAATTAATTAAGCAATGCCATAATTTATTATCAAATAATTTAAGCATATGCGTCATTTATTTTACTAGAATCGAAATTAATGAAATAATGTTAATACTATTAACAGTCATTTATTTGTAATTAAATAATAAAAAAACATTGGACAAAAATAATATAATACTTACAGAATACTTAACCCTAGGTCACTAATAACTTCATAAATATATACTAATAATCACACCTAACTAACTACAAAATTATGAATACACTCCCGCATTAATAACATCATACATACAAAATTTACGAAGTCGCTATCATTATTTTCTAAATCACTAATTAATACGCTAAACCCTAATGCATAATTAAATATTAATAATAATAACTACGTAAGAAAAAAAGGGAAGTATCATTATAACATTCATAGCATGGCATATTCATTTTTAAGTGACTATCCTAATGTTCTAAGTCTCTAATATACGACCAATCCTAACATGTATTACTAACTACCACTATAATTTAAACGTTTACATAGGAGGTATTACGACCTTACCTAAGTTGGCAGAGCTTCGCTACGAACCGTGGTTAAAGAGAGGTTAGAGAGAGGTAGAGAGAGGTGAATGAGTGAGGAGTGAAATGGTGAAACAGAGGATTATATAGATGCACCATGAGACGCCCCTTTTAGGCGTCACATGTGACGCCTCTTTGGGGCGTTTTCTCCTTCATGAGAGACGCCTCACTGGGGAGTCACATGTGACGCCCAAAAGAGGCGTCACAGTGTGCAATAGATCTGTAATTATTCCTCAAACAGCAATAAATGCATAATTTTTTAATTAAAATGCAATAAATAAATTTTTTTGCCCATTTTTACCATATCTTAAAGGATAAGAATTTATGACCATCTGCTGAACATAACATCTTCCATGAGATTTTTGCTAGAGAAAGGTTCCTTTAGGGTCTCGAAACATTCATGCATTACCCAAAGAGCAACATTGAGTTTGCTCTAACTTTCTATCAGTAAGTCACTTTTAGCACCACCAAGATCACAACTCTCATAGTTGATAAATTTCACCATTATCCGAGTAAGATTGTCCCATTCCACCGAAGTTGGCTCTCCTAATGTTTATTAAAAATTTGGTAGGGAGAGCTTTGTCGCGCTTGTGATTCTACCCCACTCGAATCTGGATTAGTCATAAGAAAATCCTACCATGGATGAAATATTAATTAAGCGAACTTACATATTAACTTACTTACATTTATGTTCACACTTAATTCAAGTAAGGAAATGTCTGTCCTCATCTCCCATTGATTTTTCTTTGGCCACAACACAAATCCCTCAACAATACGATGGACAAAACCAGTCACCATCAGTGATATCTTATACAAGAAAAATAAGACCATCCCATGAAAAGAACTAAGATCCAAGACCAATTATTTGTGTGAAAGTACTGAGTTGAAAAATTATAATAAGTAATAACAAGGTAGCATTAAATAAATATTGCATGATTGAGAAGGAAAATGGATAATCTACCTTCCTACAGAGACATGTCTTATGAAATTAAGACAGACATTGATCACATAAAATAACTTCACCACCATAGTAGCAAACAGAACAAATGTAGTGATCATTCTCCCCTTGACACAAACAAATGCATGGTTTTTCCTTAGTTTCCTTTATCCTATGATCTTATTATTTGTATCTGAGAATCTAAGAGTGACCTACCATCTACCAAAACTATATTAGATGATTTTACAATTGAACAAAACCGCAGGATAAGCATCAATTTACCACAGATGATCAAACGTGACGTCTCAACTCAAAACCTTAAAACATTTTAGTTTTTAGTTTATTCCACTTGGGGGGCGTTTGATATGAGAGATATTTTTTTTAACCGAGAAAAAAAAGTTACTGAGAATATGACAAGATTTTTTATCCTAGGCAAGTTAAAAAAGGTGTTTGGTATGCCAAAATTTTTGTCGGAAATATTGAGTTATTTTTATAATACTATGTTTGGTTGGTTATGAAATATAAGTGGGAATATAGAATAAAATTACAAAATTACCCATGTTGTTTGAAAATTTGTTGCCATCATTTTTTTTATAAAAGGACCGTGGATATAGCTTACAGGTCACTTCTTTATAAAAGGACAGTGTACTATTTATATGCATATCAAGATTTTCGGTTATATGATAAAATAAATACCGCAAGTGAAATTGCATTTAAACTTGCCAATGTCTAGTTCAATTTTTTTTTCATGGGAGACATTTTAGCTTGGTATTATTCAATATATCTCATACCAAACATGATACACATTTTTTCCCCACCCCACTTTCCCAAGAATTTTATCAAAATCTTTATACCAAACACCCCCTTCAAAGAGAGTCTTTGAATTCCCAAGATATACTGTCTGACAACAATTACACTTGATTCCATCACAGAGTTATTCGCCCCTCAGCCATAGAACGGTGCCTGCTTTTTCCCTGGTAATAAGCCTTAGACCTTTTCCAATTGATAGGCTTGCAGCCACACTATATATACTATGTAACTCAGGCTCCTCCGAAAGCAATTGGTATACTCTATGTAATAAATCACCAACTCCAAACTTGATTTGACATTTTCCACATTAATGAGTGAGACATTTAAAGGTTGCATGCCACAAATAGTCCATTTAGGAATATTTTCTTTGATACAAAATCTGCATGCTTGGTGGAGTAGTTGCCACTCTTGGGAATCAAACACACTACTCTTTGCGCAAATCTCTGTGCGCAAATCAAATCCTAGGGTCTAATTGGTTGAACTAATGCCCCTTCTTTTATTAGTAATTTGAAAAATCTATCCTTACGCTAATAGATTGTTCTTTGCTTCAGCTGTCCATTTTTTTTATCAGCTCAGTTCCTCTTGAATACAAGTGAATAATATTCCACAATAAATTGAGGACAATAAAAAAGATAGTTACAATAAACTATTTCATATATCTTCATACATAAAAATATTAGCTATTATAATAAAATGCACTCTTTTACAAGATTAAAATTATTATTTTTTAAATGAATTGCAATGTTTAAGTGTGAATAAAATCTACTTTAAAAGATGAAAATCTGATTTTAGATTTTGTTCTTCTTTTGATTAACATTTTGTATCATCGCATATAATTAATTTGATTGTTTTAAAATGAGTGTGAAAAAAATAAATTAAACATCTCATGTTTGGGTAGACAGTTACATTAGAACTTGAGGAGAGAATTCTACCCTTTGAATATGGAGCATACACTTCAATTTTGACTTGCTAGTTGGTACTAGGAGTCACCTTAACATTAGCACATTGAAGTGTGGTGGCTTTTTATATAAAAAATTATGGCTATGTGTGCGTGGAAAAATTAATTATTCCTTTAAATAAAGTAAAACAAGCGCTAGATTCACTAAACGCTCGTGATTTTTATTTATTTTTTAATTAAAGAAGAGGGGGGGGGGGGGGGGGGGGGGGGGGGGGGGCTAATGAGTATAATATCCCTTATTAATGGAGAAATAATAAATTACTCCATGCACTTATGTTAATAAAAGATAATTTTGGTAGTTAATTCCTCAATAATTGAGCTTGCCATTCTTTGTGGTAATTTTTTTTTTCTTTATAATGATTTGTTCTCATCTATTTGGTGTTTTCTATATAAAGCCATCCATCACCATCTATATAAAATATTAAAATATTTGTACTGCTTTTGGTTTCAATTCTGTGAACAACTACATTTATTCAGTCACAGTTGTAGTGACGTAAGACTTAGTACATGATGTCGAATATGTTATGGTTGTTTCCCTAAAAGTTTAAAAAAGAATATCATATATGATGGACACAGAACCATTGAAAAGATAAAGTTGAGAAGGATTTTTAATTTCCACCAATTACACATGCACATTGACCTTCCATTTAGACAAAATTGTAAATGACAATTTTGATTAACATTTAAGAGATGGAAGAAGGAAATAGTCATGCAGATTCAGTACCGCTTTATGTTTTTCCACATTCAAAATTAAGATCAGGTAGAAAATATACACAGTGCAAACTAACAAAATTGAAAGACGCTCCATGCCCTGTCAATTTTTTATCTATCCAAAACCATTCAAAAATGCTGCTTCAGACCCATTATTGGATTCACAATTAGGCAGTAAATGCGCATTTGGCTCCACCACAGTCAAATTTACTTTTCGACTTTACAAACTCAGATAAAGGCAACTGTGCAATTGTGCAAGGTTGTAAAACAATTCATGGCAAAAACATCAGACAGGTTCCCACTTATACACAGGTATTATTACTTTCTACAAAGAAACTAAAGTTGAGGTGAGCGTGGTTGGATTGAACACTTCAATTCTCTTCAAAAAAATCTTCCCAGCTCACTACTTCAATTCCCTGCAGTGCTGCTCATAATGACATTCTGAAATCCTCCTCAAGCCTTCCTCACTTTCCTTCGACTGTAGTACTTATATGAGCCACTATACCTACCACCCTCTTTTACAAGAGAGCACTGTGGATTGGTTCTATTATGGCACTGTTGATCCTCAGGACTTAGTTGCTTCACCTGAGATCCCATGAAATATCATCAGTCTTGACTGAAACAAGAAATGACACTACAAAAGTAATAAAGGAACAGGTGGAGAACAAAGTCTGAATCACAAACAATTTGGACAACAAGATTAAGTACCATGGTGACCGGGTCAATAACACTGCTACCAAGATGATCATTGTTGTCTGCACAAGTACTGGAAAAATATCACATTCGTTAGATACAACACCATCATCATTTCCCAACATAAAATCTCTTAACAACAAAGCTATGGTGACAAAATAGCCTATATGTATATATATATATATATATATATATATATATATATAATGATTATTCTACTATGAGAGTTTAAACCCGTAACTTTCAATTACAAACGGAACAACTTTATCACTGTTCTAGCCTAGGCTTGTCCGCTTTGACAAAAAAAACATTTTATATTAAAACATTTTTCGGAAATCCACAGAGAAGCCAAGAAATAATTTCGCAAAGAGATCAGAGAGAGCACATATATTGCTAAAAACTTTGGCATATTTTAGTACACACAGAATCCTGACAACCATAGACATATCATATCCACTAATACATTAATAATATCATCAAGACCTGGTTTCATTATTGATAGTTTAATATGTGAATCATACCCAAATAGATCACAAGAATTAACGCAGGATACATTATGTCAGAAAAATTCTTTCCTATAAAAGAAATACCAGCATATGAACTTCCATTGCAAATAAAGTTCCGAATTTCAAAATTTCCATTTATTTAATAACAATTAAAAGGGTTTGTTCTTATACCAAGAATTGATTCAGATGCAACTTTTTAAGTGAAGATTTCATTTAGCATTTTCTTTGTTTTCCTTCCTTTCCCTGGTCAATGGTCCAGAATACTATATTGCCTATGCAGTCTCTCTCTCTCTCTCTATTAAGAAGCATTTAATGCAATTATAATCTTGTTTTTCTTATAAGGTTTGGACTAAATAGACAGAGGTGAGACATACACCCCCATTTGTTGATCCATCAACCCTCTGTTGTCAATCTCTTCTGCTTGGTATACTTCAGAGTCTGGACTAGACTTTTCAAAGTCAACCCTACAACTTCCAGAGAAAACATCATTTTGTTTTTGTTGGGCATCTGCAAAATGAAACAATAAATTTGTAATCCACTTAGCCCAGAATAACTTATTTACTTGTCTCCTTTACAACAAGAAGAATCATAAAAGTTTACAAACCTATTGACGAAACTGAATCTGGAGATGGAATCTTTGTTAACAGCTTCTGGCACATGATGGAACCCTGAAAATCTAGGAAAGTATAGTCCAGAAATTCTGATCTCTCAAGATTTGTCATCTTTGCAAAGCCGAAAGAACTTGTCCACGTTTCTAGCACACTAGGAACAGCAGGCAAAACGAGCCTCTCAACTCCTAATTGCATGAGCTTCTGATGAAACGGGCAAAAAAATTAAGGGCTTACAATCAAGGAAAAAAGAGAACAAAAAGGGCAAATGTGTCCTTTGTGTATTACCTTTTCAAGCTCAGTCATTAAAACGCGACACATTCCATGGCGACGATACTGTGATCTGGTACCAACAAGAGGTATTTCTGCTACCTTATCTCCATAGACCCTAAAAGGTTGAAACAGAAAATCAAGATGACCATAACACAACAAGGCATAAAAAACTGCAGCAGAAATAGAACATGGAATCATACAGTCCAATAAAGCAAACCACTTGATGGTAATAGATCCCATACTCACCTAACAGTTGCCACACTAATCAGTTCTTCATTTCTCTCCAGAAGTACAGTATAGAAACCCTGGAAATTTAATCGATTAAGCTCTGACCTACAAAGTTCCAAAGCACAGATATCAGGTATTGGCCCCAGAGATATAACAATAATGTGAGGACAATTTAGAAACAGATAACATGATCATGGACAGAGCAAACATGGTAGATATGATCAAATTCATTAGTAAATAGTATAACTGTTTTGCTGTATAGGGCCGTATTTTAAATGAAACTTCCCTATGAGAAGTATGATTCACCTACCTGAGATTATCCATCAACAATAACCCAAAATAATTTTTTTTTTTTTAACTCAAAAGTCACTAATCAAAAGCAATACATTTTTTCTGCAGAAAATACAATAAAAATCAACCAAGGCAAGGATTCTCTTCTTGTTAAATAAGACTAATGGAAACAGTGATATCATTTCTAGGAATGAAATATTGTCACATGAACAACCTTACCTATAGGCAAAAATACAACTATTCCAATTGAACATCCGAGGAAAGTGAGATTAATAAGCGTAATATCATCAGGTTACAATTTCCGAAAGATAAAACTATGGCCAGCAGGTCCCTGCATATGATTTCCAGACTACGTATATGATTGGTGTAGCACAAACACAATATACAAACAATAATAACAAAATATTATGACCATATCTTGAAGGATAAGAATTTCAGACCATCTGCTGAATATAACATCTTCCATGAGATCTCTGCTAGAGTAAGGTTCCTTTAGGGGCTCGAAACATTCATGCATCACCGAAAGAGCAACATTAAGTTTGCTGTAACTTTCTACCAATAAGTCACTTTTAGTACTACCACGATCACAGCTCTCAGAATTGATAAACTTCACCAATGTCCAAGTTAGATTGTCCAAACCCACTGAAGCTGGCACTCCTAATAGTTTGTGCAGGCCGGCATATATCTGCAAAAAATAGACATGAGAATGTAGAGTAGAATCAGTGTCCTAAAAGACCTTTTCTAGTAGCGTATGTCAAAGACACACAGCCTTGAATGCTTTTATGGCTGCTTGTCAAGTAATGAAATGTATCATAACCAAAATCAAGCATCATTAATTCCATATATTCTAATATGTAACTGTTGACCAGAATCACATAAGCAAAAATATTGACAGTAAGTTCAATCTTGTTTCAAAAAACAAGCACTCAAATAATGCTTCCAATGAAAGTAAAAGTAGAATAAATTAATAAAGAAAGGGGAAAGAAAATCCTCAAGGTAAATAAAAAGGAACTGCTAATTTTCATCCAAGATGTGACTAAAATTTTCTTAAAACTAGAAGAAAGAAGAGAGGTGGATTTAATGTACCTTTTCACAGTTTTTTCCACAGAACCAGTTTTTTTTCAGGTACCTTCTTGATTTATCTACAGCTTTATTTTTCACGCACCTAAAATGATCTACAGAATGTTGACAAAGATGAGACCATAAGCATTGCAATATTGATCTACATATGCACAAAAATACACACTCAGAAGATATTCAGGCATGGATGAAATATCAAAGTGAACATACATATACTTACATTTATGTTCACACTGAATGCAAGTAAGGAAATGTCCATCCTCATCTCCATTGATTTTGCGTCGGCCACAAATCCCACAACGACACGATGGACAAAACCAGTCACCATCAGGAATATCCTATCCAGGGAAAATGAAACCAGTCCATTTCAACAACTCAGATCCAAGACCAATAACAAGGGTAAAATTAAGGAATTGAAGTAATATGTAATAAAAAGATAGCATTAAATATGCATGATTGAGAAGGAAAATGGTTAATCTACCTCCATACCAAGACATGTCTTATGAAATGAAGACGGACATTGATCACATAAAATAAGTTCACCACCATAGTGGCAAACAGAACAAATGTAGTCATTCTTGCCTTGAGACAAACCATCGCATGGTTTTTCCATAGTTTCCCTTATCCTATGGTCTTGCATTAATTGTATCTGGCAATCTAAGAGTGACCTACCATCTTCTAGAAAGATACTAGAAGTGGGTCTGCGGGTACTACTACCGCTAGCATGATTTTCAAAGCCAACAAGACTGAATACAGTCTGACAACAGTTACATTTGATTCCATCGCGAGTTATTCGTCCATCAGCCATAGAATGGTGCCTGCTTTTTGCCTGGTAATAAACCTTAGACCTTGGTAGCACTACGTTGCTGTCTATCAACCAAGACAGAACATTTTGAAGTTTATGGTGTGACAAACAAGGGGCAGACACCTGTTGCACCCTTTTACTTGATCGTAGTAGCACTCGTAGAGGTAATCTATTCCTTTGGCGCTTAGGTAGGCTAGCCTTTGAATTCCTCAAGCGTTTCCGTTTCCGCTTCCGATTTGCAGTAGATCTGCTTGCAGCTACACCATCTATGCCATGTAATGAAGGTTTCTCCGGAAGCAATTGGGATACTCTATGTAATAAATCACCACTCTGAACTTGATCAACATTTTCCTCATTACTGATTGAGTCAATGGTACGATGCCTTATACTCTCATCATCTTGGGACGGCAAAGAGATTGTGTTTGAGTCCTTTTGCATGACTTTACAAACTTCAATGAGTGAGGGGAAAATCTTCTGGTCCTGTTTGTCAGGCGACTTGTACCTGTAATGTTTATCACCAACACTATCTGCATTCCACTCAATTTTCCAACCAAGATAAGCAATATGTTTTTGTAATTTTTTTCTCCAAAGTTCCATGCTCCAACAAATAGGTGAAGCAAGTGCATATTGCTTAACGGCATCAGGACAAAATTCAACTTCAGACAACATAAGAGGTTTCCAGCGTGTGGACCTTAAAAGAGTCGAGGATCTATTTTCTCTCTTATTTTTAAAACAGTTAGCACCTGAAACTACTTCAACAGCACAATCGGAGGAAATTTCAGTTTGAAACTCTGATAAGACCTCTTCAATTGGAGGAAGAGGATCTTTCTGCATCAAGATTTCCTTTTCAGGTAATGTTGTGTTCAAGTGCCCATTAGCCACAGGTTCAACTGGCTCCACCTCTGGTGTTTCATTGAATAAACTCCTTGGAAGGTTTAAGACTGAGAAAACTACTTCTACAGTAATAGCAAAGTAATCATTAACTACCTCCATTACCATGTCTCTCCATAAGTCCTTCACATTGAATGTCCATTCCTCAATCCTGTCAAAATCACTTTTTCCCTGTACATCATACCAAATCTGCTTTGCTGAAACTGTAACAAATGATGTCCTCTCACACTCCTCAATTAATTCAAGAAACACCCATTTCCCTCGCTGCTCCCACTTCTCTGTAACTTCATCCCAGTCCTGAGTAATCCGAAGTTGGTGGATTCCAACATTCATTTCATCACCCAAATCAGGGAAAAACACACTCCTCTCCTCCTTCTCATCATTGTGATCAAATATAACACCTTCCCACCAAGCTTCCTGATAGTTCACATCAACACACAGACCAAATTTAAGGTTCCTTTTATCCAACTCAATCAAAGGAGGCACTGGCCTAATGAAACCGCGCTTATAGCAATCTGAAGAACAACTTTTACCATCCAAAGCATCCGAAACACTCACTACGTCCTCAAAATTCTTAATCCCATCATCATCCAAAATATTCTCATATCTGACATGGCGCTCCAGCTTCCCGCAATGGATAACTGTCGCCGGGTGCCATGACCCCAGAAACCCATCCTCTACACTCCTCAACTGAAAAATTCCAAAAGACACATTTCAAATGTTCAGATAAATTAAAAAACTACGAACTAATGTTAACTACCAAGTAGCTTAAAAAAATGAAGCAAGTGATCATGACCGAAAATTTCAAAAACACTGCAAACAAAAGACAACTTAATATTATCTTACCATAAACAATCCCCCAAATAAAAAAAAATAAAAAAAATACTTTGCATGAAGGCAAAAGGAACAATGCACAGCACAGCAAACAATGAAAAAAGGTAATTTAATCATGAAAACAACAATCGTGTGTGTAATGTGTAATGTAGCTGAAAAACATCAAAACACAGTGACAGACAAACGTTAAAAATAATCAAAACGAAGAATTGACAATAACAACGTAAACCAAATAAGCAAAATTAGAAACACATGCACAAAGATAGAAAACCAATAAAGAACACATTTTTCATTTAAATAACAAAAGTTAAAGAATCATCCAAAAAATTAAAAAAAAAAAAAAATTTCTAAAAAAGACTCTAAAAATTCCAGCAATAAAAAAAATTATATCCTTTTAAAAAAATTTGACATTACCTCAACACGTTCATTGATTCGAAGCTTTTTTTTTGTGAAGCTTCTTTGACGCTTCTTCCTCCCAGAACCCATCACTCTCTCTACCGTTCATTCGGTGGTCTATCAAATCGTTGATTCGTGGGTACCAAGTAACACTCACTACTCTCTCTCTCTCTCTCTCACTAAGACTGAGTAAGTGTGAGTGTGTGTATGTAGCGAAGTGAAACCGTGACTCTCTACTTTCCTTTTTTTTTTAGAGAGGATCCTATTCGTCCACGTCATTATCGCCTTATGCATGTTTGCTTACGTGGCGATCTTCTTGACTCTACTCAGTGAGAGAGGACCCATGAAAATTGATATGGCTTCAGGTAGATAATTTATCCTCCCTCTTAAAGAAAACTATAAAAATTCTTTATTTAATGAGATTTGTATCTAATTTCACTCTACTTTTATAAAAGTGGAAAACAAATATTTCACGTAACTCTAAAATCAATATTTTTAACCTCAAGTTGTTATTATCTTGGATTGTAAATACAGAGATTGCATATTATGTTTTTTTTTTATAAAAATTATTTAATGAGACTTAAATTAAAAAAATTCAACCGAGTGATGGAGGAGGAATTGAATGTCAATGGGTTAAAAATAACAAAAGCGACAATAATGTTTAATTTATTATATTAGTATTTATTTTTATTTTTTATTTGATCTTACTATTTATTATTTATTACATAAGTAAGGGTAACTAAACTTGAACTCTTGTTTGTCCTCAGTTAAAGAAGATAAAAGAGGATGCAAAAAGGAATAGAAAAGATCTGAATAGCAAGGGATATTAAAAGTGAATCTCTACAAACACAACAATACAACCAGGCATACTAATCGATTTAATCAAGATTTGAGAGGAAACGTAATTACAAGTTAGCGTTAGTTCTCAATTGATTTTTGGAACAACAGAAAATGAAAATTTCAAAGAGAAAAACACACGTGAAGTCAATGCCTTGCTCACAAGTTATTCATTGTACTCATACAATGGGTATGTGTTTCAATCAAATCTTATCGTTGAAAACACTATTATCATAGACTTTGATCTTACTGTTACTTTCGGCACTTATAAAAATGGGTATTATAAAATAATTTTATTTTCTACAGTGGCCTAATGCGCCGGGCTATGTGACATTTTATGTGGTCAAAAGTCAAAACCGCTAGACTTCATAGCTATTTACATGTTGAAATACTCAACGCATGTGTGACATGTGTCACATTGTGATAAACTCACGTGTGACATGTGTCACATTGTAATAAACTCGCTGGGCTGAGCAGCTGGTTACGTGCATGTGTGACACATGTTATTTAAATGAATTTTTTTTATAGCTAAATTTTTTTTTTAAAAAACGGAAAAAAATTAAATAACATTAATTTAACACTCCTAAATTTAATTACTTAACATTTATAAATAAATTAGGAGTTTAATATAAGTTATAAGTGTTAATGAATTTAGGAGTTTTTATGTTTGTTAATTAATGTGGTGTAAATTAGTATAAATTATTTTACAATTATCATTTGATAATTTATAGGAGTTTTAACTATATTAATTTAATTTAATTTATGCTAATTGAAATTGTTTGTAATGGTTAAAAAATTTAATATAAATGAGTAGTGTTAAAGAATTAAAATAAATTAAATTAATATTAATTATTTTATTTTAATTCAGTATATATTAATTTTAATTATTTTAGAATAATTAATTAGTTAATTTTAGGGGTGTTAACTAAAATAATTTAATGTAGTTTGTGTTACATTAAAAATTTGTGAACTGTTACGTTACTTAATTTATTCAAGGGTTGTTAATTAATGCAATATATTTTATGTTTGTTAATTGAAATATTTTAATTTAATCTATATTAATTTTAAATTGATCCTAACGATTCATTATTTATGTTATAATTGTTAATTATTTATTTTTTTAGATTGTTAATTATTTCATTTTAAATAGCAAAATGTTAACTTAAATTATTTGTAAATGTTAAGTAATTAAATTTAGGAGTGTTAAATTAATGTTATTTAATTTCATTTAAATGACACGTGTCACACATGCACGTAACCAGCTGCTTAGCCCAGCGTGTTTATCGCAATGTGACACGTGTCACACATGCGTTGAGTTTTCAACAGCCGCCACGTAAACAGCTACGCAGTCAAGTGGTTTTGGCCACGTAAGACGCCATGTAGCCCAGCGCTTTAGGCCAGGTGGCAAACGGCGGCAGGGGTTGTCTGCCACGTAATCTAGCTGCATTGTGCAGCTAGTTACGTGGCCATCCAGGTTCTGCCACGTGGCCAATCCTAACTCGCCACGAAACATAGCGGAACTTATGACGTGCCACTTTGGAAAAAAATTTCTGGGGTGTGGCATTTTGGTAATATTTTAGGTAAACAGTGAAAACTTGGTCGTTGTCCCTCTTAGCATAGACTGCATGTATAACCAAGCATTAGGGGACCTATTTGGTTGCCAATGTATGCAAGTGCACAGATAAATTTGGTCATACATTTTTTATAGTAAAAAAGAGATATATATTTTAATTAATTAGGAATGTCACTCGAGGAGCAATTTTAGTGGTTGCATTGCCAGTAATACAAGCACATGTATTAAGAAAGAAACACTTCTTATTTACTGCTTATGTTTTATTGGTTTTATATCATTAAGTTGATTACTATTTTTTTATGTTAAGTTAAAGTTTTCTTTTCTTTTGTTGTTTGAGGATTATATCTCTCATATTATATGAACGAAACTTTTTGTCATGTTAAGAAAAAGACAAGTTATATAACATTAAAGAAAGTGAGATGGCACATAATTCAATGAATTAGTCTTGTCTTTTTTTTAACATGATAAAAATTTGGTTTATATAACATGAGAGATATAAATCCATTTTTGTTTTTGTTTTTTATTTTTTATTGCACTTAAAACTTTGTTTAACTTTTTTTTTTTGAAATCACTGCCCCTAAACCCCCTCTAGTAAATATTCGTACTAAACATACATAAATAAAATTTTATGGATTCGCTACTGTAACCAAAGTTAGATAAACACAATTTTAAACATGAAAATTATCCCTTATTAATGAACTAAAAGTATTTAAGAAAAATGGTTCTGAAAATTGAATATAAAACATGATCCATCCATGTCAAAAATATAAAGCAAGCAAACAAATATGCAAAGGAAAGAATGCAAAATTAGAAAGATGCAATGCATGGTAAAGTAGGGGATTTTGAGAATAAGGTTTTGAGGTTCCCTCAATAGCAGCCTCCTTCTCTTGTACTCTAGATTTTTTGGTACGTTCTTTCTTGATGATAATAATTAAATATTATGGAATTTCTTAACACATGTACGCGAAACTTGATCTATTATTCACACTTCAAGCTAATATGCTCTTGTGTAAAAGGGGCTCTTGTGTAAAATGGGTCGTGTTAGAGAAATATAATATAATTTTTTTTTGGTAAACATAATATAAAATTCTTTAATATAGCATCATCTAACAAGTTTAGCTTTTAGGTTGAAATGATTCTTTATACCAAACAAATATAGGAAAGACAAAATATCAATGAATAAAGTGTTCCAATATCAAATGACCACAAAAAATATGTAATGAAAATGGTCTTGCATTTAGGGGCGTTAATGGGCCGAGCCGAGCTTTGGTCTTAAAAGGCTAAATATGTGTTTAAATGTGTCAGCCTGACCAAGTCTGTTACCTGTTATAAATATAATTATTGGCCTATGGCCTGACTTATTTACAAAAAATAAAAACATGGTTTAGCCTGTTAGCCTGTTTAAATAAAAAATAAGACAACAAAAATTTATCTAAACAAAATATACAATCAACAACACTAGTAATTTCATAAATATTCATAAATTCAATGTATATCCAAACAGCATAATATAGAACAAAATCATTCAAAAACTCTATTTAACCAATAAAATGGGGTGAAATGGATTGAGGAGAAAGAAAGAGCTATTACAAGTATTATAAAATATATATATATATATATATATATATATATATATATATATATATATATATATATATATACACTAGGCTAGCCTGAAAAGCTCTAAGGCCGAGCTTTTGAATTGGAGCCTGAGGCCTTTTTATTAAACGAGCTTTTATACAAGTTCAAGCCTGGTCCAATAACCAATTTTAGACATGTAAGCTTAGGCTTTCACGAGCCAAACCAAAGGCCCCTGGTTCATTTAGCACCCCTACTTGCATTGCAGGTCCTACGTGCAAATATTGAGTAGTATAATGAATTAAATACACCACCTCATAATGATATTTAACACTCAAGATCAAGAGATAGCATAGAATAAATAATTTGGCATGCTGTGTATTGAAAATTCTATGGAATCAAAGTTATATTTATTATTGGAGAGATGTCTATATATAGACGTACAAATACAAGGAAATAAATTGGAAAGCAAATATATGCAACAAGAATTAAAACTTCTACTCCAAATTCATCAACAACAGCATTTGGAAGCTTATAAAGTAGGTAACTGTTGGGTTTAGTATGCTCTTTTCACTTAAGCCCAATAGCTTTAGTGAGAGTGAGCCCAAAGTCCAATTATAACCCATGAAGCTTAGGGTTAGTTTTGGATTGGGCAGAGTATATAATCTCTCTTTTCTCCTAGTGCCTCCTAGGGTTACAGACATCAGAAACACACCTAAGAGGCAGACGTTCATCATCTGAACGGTTGCCCACACGACCACCTGATCCCCTTGAGTCATAGCTGGAAGATCAACCGTAGAGCGGAATTGTGACCGTTCGTGGTGCGTTGCTGCAGATCGTGAGGCTTGAGGAGGAGAACTGAACGTGAGAAATTGGCACGCTCGCTGCTTCATCTCAGGTAATCAAAGCGGTGTTCTTCATTCATCATCGTATCGGTACGATGCGCTTCCGCGTTTCTGATGATATACCTTCAGCAACTACCAGAACAAATAGGATTTTTTGAAGAAAAAAAATTATAGGGGTTGCTGAAAATAAATGAAATATCAAGAGTTGAGAAAGGTGATGTAGAGCTCCTAACATTATGGAACTTTGTAGCAGAAAACTAGAAGAAAGGTCACAGAGGATGAAAGTTCTCTAATACCATATTGGAAATTCTATGAAATTAAAGTTTCTCATCATTGATGAGACATCTATATATAGATGCACAAATATAAGATTGATAAACAATTAAGCAACTAACAAATAAGGATAGAAACAAAAGTTGTTTACATAATTCAAATATTATCTTATCCTTATCATTAGTCATTAATTCTAATGCTCCCCTCAAGTTGGAGCATGGAGGCAATGGATGCCCAACTTGCAAACTAGAAAGATAAAAAAATTTATGCCCAATATTTTATTAAAAAAGCCTACAAAATATTTCTAAAAAGACAACTCATGAATGTTGGAGATGTTCGAGAGATAACTGTTGCTGAAAAATTAACTCAATAAAATGGCTGGAATTACAATCAACCTGAAGAGATGAAAAATGCCCACAAAATATTGTTAAAAAGACAACTCAGGGATACCAGAGACTTCAAAAAAATAATCGTTGCTGAAAAATTAACTCATTAAAATGCCTGGAATTACTATCAACCTAAAAAGCTGCTTGAAATATTACTTGACCAAATAAAAGACTTTGCTAGAATAGCATTAGCAGATGTGTTGTTTGTTGGAATAACCATCAGCAAAAATATTATGGCAAACAAATATATGCAGCAAGAAATAAAACTTCTCCTCCAAATTCGTCAACAACAGCATTTGAAAACTTTAAAGTAGGCAACAACTGGAACACATGGGCTTTGTTGAAAAAAATTAAAATTAAAGGGTTGCTGAAAAATAAATGGGACATTAGGAATTGGGAAATGATGACATAGAGCTCCCAACTTTAAGGAACTCCGCAACAGAAAAGTTGCAATTAGATCACGGAGGATGAAATCATATTGGAAATTATATGGAATCAAAGTTATTTCTATTATTAAAGAGACGTCTATATATAGATGCCCAAATACATATTTGATAAATAACTAAGCAATTAACATACAAGGATAGAAACAGAAGTTGTTTATATAATACAAATATTATCTTATCCTTATCCTTAATCTTTATTCATAATATTGTGCTCAAGTAATTACATGTTATATAATGAAGTAATGATCAAATTCACAAAGAATGTATGACCAATTATGCACCCTAGCTATGATTGCCTACTATATGTATGACCAAAGTCAAAAATAAGGTAAGTTCTCTAAAGTAGGATCACCTATTGATCAGATAGAACATACCTGGACAGGTTGATGATATGAATTTTTGACCTTAGCTATTGATGTTATCAATGCTCCATTGGCAAAAGGTGATGGGTCACTTGTAGTGACTCATACGCTCAAGTCAGTATACGATCAAGGATGGAGTGTGCAAAGTCCATATGCATTCCTGATGGTTTAACCTCAGTATTTATAGAGAGGATTTACTTGAAGGTGGGAGAGTACGAGTAGGATTCAAACACCTAATTAGATAAGCCCACTATCAATGATTCATATTTCAAATTAGGATTGGCTTGGAATCTTATCTTCTAGAGCTTGTGGTACCTATTATGTGATATAAAACACCTACCAAGTATAATATCCATAGTTTCATCTATTCTATAACCATCACATTAATGTTGTATTGAATTGTAGAATATATCTAAGGGGGAGTGTTGTAAAATATTATGGATGACTTTTCAAATGAATTATGGATGACCTTTCTCATAACACGTGACTCTCTATTTTTCATGATCTTTAATGTATTCTATAACCATCACACTAATGGTGTGTAGAATTGTAGAATATATCTAAGGGGGAGTGTTGTAAAATATTATGAATGACATTTCGCATGAATTATGGATGATTTTTCACATTATTCATAACATGTGACTTTTTATTTTTTTATGACCTTTAATGTCTCTATAACCATCACACTAATGGTGTGTTGAATTGTAGAATACATCTAAGGGGAAATGGTGTAAAATATTGTGGATGACTTTCTACATGGTTCATAATATGTGACCCTTTATTTTTAATGACCTTTGATGTTGTAACGCTTGGCAACTTGCGAGGATCAAAGACTGTCCCCACACACTAACACGAGACTTTTCAGCGTGCTTTGTCCTCACTTGCACACTTTCCGGGAAAACTTCCCAAGAGGTCACCCATCTCAGAATTGCCCCAAGTCAAGCACGCTTAACTATGGAGTTCTTCCGTTCCAGGCTACCGAAAAGTAGATGTATCTTGTTAGTATAGGTAGTACTAATTAATTCTTATAAGTCATTCCCAACTGTACCGTCCCATACCAGCACAGTCTCTGGAATCCCTCTCTTTCGGGTGTTGATTCGATTCATTCATGTACCCCCGTCGCTGGAAGCCTGCCAGGAGCCGCTCCTTGTCCATGCCCTTTCGCACCGGCGATCACTCCCCGCCCTCGTCAGCACCAGGGATGTTACATGCTCACCAGCTTCCGCCTGGTTTGTCCTCGAACCACACCGTACTGGAAGAGAGGCCTTGCTCTGATACCACTTGTAACGCCTGGCAACTTGCAAGGATCAACGACTATCCCCACACACTAACACGAGACTTTTCAGCGTGCTTTGTCCTCACTTGAACACTTCCCGGGAAAACTTCCCAGGAGGTCACCCATCCCAGAATTGCCGCAAGTCAAGCACACTTAACTATGGAGTTCTTCCGTTCCAGGCTACCGAAAAGTAGATGCATCTTGTAAGTATAGGTAGTACTAATTAATTCTTATAAGCCATTCCCAACTGTACCGTCCCATACCTGCACAGTCTCTGGAATCCCTCTCTTTCGGGTGTTGATTCGATTCATTCATGTACCCCTGCCGCTGGAAGCCTGCCAGTAGCCGCTCCTTGTCAATGCCTTTTCGCATCGGCGATCACTCCCCGCCCTCGTCAGCACCCGGGATGTTATAGATGTATTCTACCACCATCACACAAATAGTGTGCTGAATTGTAATTATTCCCCTAGTTATGCTTAGAGTCCTATATAAGGACATATCTTAGATGGAAAAAATGGTACTTGGTGAATTAGAATATAATAATATTTTCTTACCTTTAAAAGCTCATACTTGTTCTTATTTTATTCTTCCTTTTATTTTGACCCACGGTCCAACCCTAACTTAGCCCGCTAAACTTTTGGGTTTTAAGGGTTCGGGCTAAAAAAAACCCTACCACAAAAGGACTTAATAGGTTAGGGCCAAATATAGTGCTTTGAGGTCTGACTTGCGACTTCAACCTATTTTGACACCTCTAGTTGAAACCTTATGTTAGAATATGTGTTTTTTTTTTAAACCATAAAATAGAACTTAATATTGTTATATTCTTTTGTATAGATATTAATATCTAGGATAGTTTATGTATTATTTTATATTTTAAAATTACATTTATAAATGCCATTTTAATATGTTTTATATTTTTTGTTTTAATATTATTTATCACCTTAGGTTAGAGTATTTTTTTTTTTCGCTTTGTAGTTTGTAGATGTTTAACATGGGACATCAAATTTTAATTATGTTAAATAAATGAAAAAGCTATGAACTGACACCAAAGTTTGGTTAATAAATATATTTTACAGGAAGTTTTAGAAAGTACATTGAAATAAATAAAATGTCAGTGCCATGCTAGTCTGTGCTGAGTTTTGAAAAAACATCCTTTTCAAGTAAACCACTTGTGAAATAAGACATATAACCATCTATATAAAATATTTTAAAAATGAAGTTAAAGTGCATGCTGTAAAAATTCCATATTGATTGAGTACCAAAAAATAAAAAAAAATTACATATTGATGAGAAATAAATTAAGTGAGGATTATATAACTTAAAAAGATCGGTAAACTCACTATTTAAGATTTTGAGTTGAGATACCTTTAGATAAAAATAATTATGAATCGAGATCTGTTTATGCTTTTCCACCGTCTAAATTAAAGATCAGTCAGGTAGAAAATATACACAGTGCAAACAAACAAAAAGTACAAATGGCCTCCATCAAATTTTCCTTTTCTATTTTACAAACTCAGGTAAAAGCAAACTGTACAATTGGGAAACGTTGTAAAACCATGCGTGACAGAATAACTGATCTACTGCTTATACACATATTCTTACTTTCTACAAAGAAGCTAAACTTGTGAGATTAGTGTGGGTTGATGGACACTTCAATTCTCCTGAGCAAAATCTTCTATGCTAATTATTTCAATTTCCAGCAATGCAGCTCATGATGACATTCCCAAATCCTACTCTAGCCTTTCTTTCTCACTTCCCGACGGATGTAGTACTTATATGAGCCACTAAACTTGCCAGCAGATTCTTGTACAAGTGAGCACTGTGGAATGGTTCCATTCTGGCACCGTTGATCCTCGGCACTTAGTTGTTTCACCTAAGATTCAAGGATGTTATCAGTCTTAATTGAAACAAGAAATGACACAAAAAAAATAAAATAAGGGAACAAAGTCTGAATCACAAACAAATCGAAGAACGACATGGAAAGTACCATGGTGACTGAGTCAATAACACCATTGCCAAGGTGATCATTGTTGCGTGCGCAAGTACTGGAAAAATATCACATTAGTTAGATACAATACCATCATCACTTCCCAACATAAAATCTCTGAACAACATAGTTACGGTGGCAAATAGGGGGAAAATGATGATGTTGATGATGAGATTGATCTGTAGCAGATCATATTGGTACACCAACGTGACACTCTGCATATGAGGAGATTGATAAACCTATTTTCTATTATTGTTTCTTTCTTCTGGTAGCATAGTGGTGTAGTTTTCTCAGTTCTTTGGGGATTTCCCCTCCCAATCTAGTAACAAAAAAGAACTAGATATGTTTAAGGTTATTTACTGCATTCAAATTCGTAACATTTCAATCACAAGTAATCCACTGCTCTAAACTGGCCCCCCTTGGCAATAAAAAAATACTATCCTATAAAAACATCTGCTGAAACTCACAAAGAAGCCCATAAATAATTTAGCAAAGAAATATGAGAGAACACATGTATTGCTAAAAATTTGGCATATGTTAGGACACACAGAATCCCTGACAACCATAGACATATCCGCTAATACATTAATCGTATTATCAAGACATAGTTTAATTATTAATAGTCTAACATGTGAATCATACCCAAATAGATCACAAGAACATTAATGCAGGATATATTATGTAATAAAAAAACCTTTCTTATAAAACTCCGAGAAATATGAACTTTGGTTGCAACTAAGGTTACAATTTTCAATGTATTTAATAATAGTTCAAAGGGTTTGTTTTTCTTCCTTTCCCTGATCAATGGTCCACAAGACCACAATACTATATTGCCTTTGCAGTCTCTCTCTCTCTTAAGAAGCATTTATGCCATTACAATCTTGTTTTTTTTGTAAGGTTAGGACTAACTAAATAGACCGAGGTGAGACATACTCCCTCATTTGTTGATCCATCATCCCTCTTTTGTCAATCTCTTTAGCTTGGTATACTTCAGAGTCTGGACAAGGCTTATCAAAGTCAACACTACAACTTCCATTGAAAACATCAATTTGTTTTAGTTGGGAATCTGCAAAATGAAACATTAAATTAGTAAACCACTTAGAGCAGAAATATTTTATTTAATTGTTACTTTTACAACAAGAATCATAAAAAGTTACAAACCTTTTGACAAAACTGAATCTGGAGAAGGAATCTTTTCCAACCGCTTCTGGCACATGATGGTACCCTGGAAATCTAGGAATGTATGGTCCAGAAATTCTGATCTCTCAAAATTTGTCATCTCTGCAAACCCAAAAGCATTTGTCCACGTTTCTAGCACACTAGGAATAGCAGGCAACACAAGCCTCTCAACTCCTAATTGCATGAGCTTCTGATGAAAGAAAAACACAAGTTAGAAAATTATAACTTAAAAAATAGCTGGAACTGTAGGACTTTATTTTTAAAAAATCTATGACATTGTAATTATCCACATTTCATCCACCCCCATCACTTTAATTACACAAATTCAACATCAGTACTGAATACACATGCTTTCGAAATCATCCTTAGTTACTATATCCAGATTATACTGCTAGCCATATCAGATCACTGAATAAGCTATTAAAAATAAACTCGCTGAGATACCAGAAATGAGAAAGTAGAACAAAGGTCTATAGAAAACCGATAATAAAAACAAATTTATTAATCCATTTCCATATCAAACATGGAAAGTTCAATTAAATAATCAATCTTAAATTATGTCACAGATGTAGCTTCTGTTAGGAACTAAATGCTAAAATGATACGAACCTCAAGCCAGGGAACGGAGGTGAGAGCACCGGAAGAGAGGAGGAAGATGAGGCAGAAGGAAGCGTACCAATGGAGAAGGAAGATGAAGTACTTAGAAGAGGGAAGAGAGTCAGAGTAAGAGCCAGGTGGACCAAAGACTTTGTGATGGGGGCACGTGGACAATAGGTGGCATCATCTGATGGAGTTGGTCTATTAATTCTTAGTGGGCTTGAGTTGTTACTGCTAGCCCATTTACCCGTTGTTAGTTTCCTTCTATCGTAATGGGTCTGGACTATTACCAGCCCAAAGTGTTGCTTTGTCATTTAGCTCTGCCTTAAGTAGCTGAGAGGAACTGTTTTAGAGGTAGCTTAGTACTGATAACTGAATTCTCTCCTTCCTCTTATCATTTCTAGAGTTGCCGGCAACCTCGAATTGCCGTAGGTTAACTGATAACTGAATTCTCTCCTTCCTCTTATCATTTCTGGAGTTGCCGGCAACCTCGAATTGTCGTTGGTTAATTGATAAACAAATTGTCTCGTTGAAGTTTTCATAATCGCCGCTGAAAATTTGTGAAAGGCCGGCTTGGCTCAGCGGTAAGCTTGCTTGCCGGGGTGTCCAAGGTCCTGGATTCGACTCGGCCTCCTTGCAAAGCAAGGGTAAGGCTTGACTCGTATTTGCCCTTCCCCAAACACTCACGCAGTGGGTTTGAACTGGGTCGGCCCTTTTAGTTATTATTCTGTTATTCTAGCAAGTTATTTAGGCTTAGCCCATTAGGTCATTTAACCTCTTTAAATAGAGGTCCTTTGTACAATTCTATATACAATTGAATACAATATATTTTCTTACTTTTAAGTTGGTACCAGAGCTAATATTCTAAGAAACCTCGCTTCCGCATAAAACCCCTATCTCGCCGTGCATCATACCGGCAACCCTTTTTTAGACCTAACCTTTAATTTGTCACAAAATACTTATCCTCAGCCTTGAATAGTCAGAAACCAGCCTCCTCAACCTTGAATAGGACGACATCAGCCTCCGTTTGCCGCCGGAACCGCCGTTTGCTACTGTTCACGGTCACCGGAAAACTTTTCCGGCTACGGTTTCAACCGGAACACCTGCGATCAGGCTCCCCTTCCTCCGACGACCGTCTCTGTGGAAGGCCCATCACCGGCAGCCATCTCACGCGCCCACACGCGCGACTGACCTTCCTGCGCGTGGTGCTCACGCGCCTCCTTTCAGCGGCGCGTGAGCACTTTTCTAGTCACCTTTTCCTGCCATTCTAGGGCAGACAAACTCGCCTTCCTCCCTTCTTTCCAGATCTGCCCTCTGTTCGTTGTGGGTCTCGTCCGTTCAGAACACATCAGTGATTCTACGTTGATTTGCGTTCCATTCGTAAAGCTGAGGTCAAAAGCAACTCAGAATTAATGAGCATAGCCAAAGCCATTGAAGAACAGAGAGAGGGGTTTGAACATTACACTTTCAAAGAGGGCTTGATCTTCTTCAAAGGGCGAATAGTCCTTGCTAGTACTTCTGACATCAAAATCACTTTGTTGCATACATTCCACTCCTCAGCAATTGGACGACATGGCGGAATCCGAAAAATACTGCATCGGATCTCTACCCATTACTATTGGCCAAATATGAAACACGATGTTCAAGAGTTTGTGCGAACCTGCCCCATATGTCAGGTCACCAAGTATCAACCACTATCCCCTACTGGACTCCTACAGCCGTTGATGATTCCTCATGCGGTTTGGGAAGATCTTTCGATGGATTTCATAGTGGGCCTTCCCCCATCAGAAGGCAAAACAACCATTATGGTTGTTGTAGATCGGCTGTCAAAATATGCCCATTTTTCTGCTCTGGCTGGGAATTTCACAGCTTCGAAGGTGGCATCTGTGTTCGTCTCTGACATCTGCCGACACCATGGAGTCCCTCGCTCTATTGTTTCAGATCGAGATCGGGTATTCATCAGCAAGTTTTGGCAAGAGCTATCATGGTTACGTGGAACTCGTCTCCATTTCAGCACTGCCAATCACCCTAAAAGCGATGGACAAACCAAGGTTACTAATCGGGGGTTAGAACATTATCTGAGATGTTACACCATGGAGAATCCAAAGAGCTGGGTTCAATACTTACCTTGGGCTGAGTTCTCGTATAGTTCCTCGTTTCATTCCTCGATTGGGTCAACACCATTTCAGGTTCTGTACGAACGTCTACCTCCAGCCTTGCAGCCATACGATGGAGGAACCTCACCTATTGAAGCGGTGGATACTCTCCTGACACAGAGGGACGCCATCATCCAGAATCTCAGGGACAACTTGCACCGCACCCGCCAGCGCATGAAGAACCAGGCTGATAAGCACCGTCGTGATGTGCAATTTGATGTTGGTGACCAGGTCTTGGTAAAACTCCAACCTTATAGTCAGAGCTCGGTGAGAAACCAGACTTTCTCCAAGCTGAGACGACGGTATTATGGTCCGTTTCCGGTAGCTTACCGTTTGACACTTCCAGAAGGGTCACACATACATCCTATCTTTCATGTTTCATTGCTCAAGGCGTTTCGTCAAAATTCATTCTTTCATCCCCAGCCTTTGCCAGAGACAATGTGGGAGAATCATCCAGTGACAGAACTGCTAGCTATTGTGCGTTCAAGGACGGTGCCGTAGGGAAAGGGCTCTGATCTTCAGATTTTGGTTCAGTGGCAGGGACTACCATTAGAGGATGCCTCTTGGGTGTCAGTTTCTGATTTTTGTAAGGCTTACCCCCAGTTCGATCTTGAGGGCAAGATCGAGTCTTTAAGGGAAGGGGAAAATGATACGAACCTCAAGCCAGGGAACAGAGGTGAGAGCACCGGAAGAGAGGAGGAAGATGAGGCAGAAGGAAGCGTACCAATGGAGAAGGAAGATGAAGTACTTAGAAGAGGGAAGAGAGTCAGAGTAAGAGCCAAGTGGACCACAAAGACTTTGTGATGGGGGCACGTGGACAATAGGTGGCATCATCTGATGGAGTTGGTCTATTAATTCTTAGTGGGCTTGAGTTGTTACTGTTAGCCCATTTACCCGTTGTTAGTTTCCTTCTATTGTAATGGGTCTGGACTATTACCAACCCAAAGTGTTGCTCTATCATTTAGCTCTGCCTTAAGTAGCTGAGAGGAACTGTAGTAGAGGTAGCTTAGTACTGATAACTGAATTCTCTCCTTCCTCTTATCATTTCTGGAGTTGTCGGCAACCTCGAATTGCCGTTGGTTAATTGATAAATAAATTGTCTTGTTGAAGTTTTCATAATTCTTGAGTTGTAGCTATCATAAAATTTTAACAATTCGCCAAACTGGACTTTTTTATTGTGACAAGAATATCATACTAAATATTTTGATCATAATGTCAAAATCATATGGTCATCATTGGAATTAATTAAAATAGAAAGTAAGGATAGGACTTTCATAGCCAATCTACATATTACATAATAGGGATAGGATATCATGTCCATCTTTTTTTCATGACTATTCCTTAATACCATTAGATCATAATCTCAAGAAGAAAGAGAAAGGATAAAGGTAAGTTGAGATTGTGATCTAATGGTATAGGTAGAGTAGGCATGAAATAAGATAGGCTTAATATCCTGTCCCTACAAAATATATTGTTCTGCTAAAGTTGTACTGAAGATTATTGCTTCAAACCTGAGTTTAGTCTAGGATTGAAGTCTTAACATCAATATGAACAGAAAAGTTTATAAATATTGAAATTTTTTAATGTTTTTCAACCATACACCTAAATTCAAAGTGACGATTTACAGTAAAAACTTCGGGTGAAATAGTGCTGCTCCATTATAAATACTTAATTTCCTTTAATTTTCTTCTGAATTATAAAAACAAACACATATGTGGCAGACTTCACAGACAAAGGAAGTTTCGTATTAAGTAGGATTAAAAATGAGCTCAAAAAGTTGAAAGAATGAAAGCTTATTGGATAAAAATGGTCATGCTAGGATCAGGGAGAATGCTTTTGTGACAATGAGATTGGTTTCAGGACATCTTTTAGCCTCAAAGGTATATTATTCTAGAGAATGAGATTGGTTTCAGTACATCTTTTAGCCTCAAAGGTATATTATTCTAGAGAAAGCTTTGCTGTAGTTGCCTTCAGAAAACAATGCAGTGCAGACTGTGCAGTCATTACACCATTTATTCCAGGAAAAAAATAAGTAATGAAGGGAAAAAGACAAAAAAAGGGTAAATGGGTGCTTTGTGGATTACCTTTTCAAGCTCATTCATTAAAATGCGACACATTCCATGTCGACGATACTGTAATCTGGTACCAACAAGAGGTATTTCTGCAACCTTATCTCCATAGATCCTAAAAGATTGAAATAGTAAATCAAGATGAGCATAGCACAACAAGGCATAAGAAAATGCAGCACAAATAGAAAAGGGAATCATACAATCCAACAAAGCCTAGTACTTGATGGAAATTGATCCTATACTCACCTAATGGTTGCCACACTAATCAGTTCTTCATTTCTTTCCAGAAGTACGGTATAGAAACCCTGGAAATTTAACCGATTAAGCTCTGACCTACAAAATTCCAAAGTACAGGTATCAGGTATTGACTCAGATAAAACTATAATGTAGCACAATTTAGAGAAGATATCATGATCATATGGTCAGAGTAGATATGGTAGATGTGAACAAATCCATTAGTAAATGGTATAAATGTGTAGCTGATAGGTTTAAATTCCTATCGTGAACAAAGAAAGAGAGTTTATTGAATTAAAAGAGAATTACAAGCAATAATAAAAGTGTAAAACTGCTCCCAGCATTGGAGGATCTCTCCAAGCCCCTGCTATGCAGAACTTACAATATGAAAAACCAGAATAATGCTACTCATCCCTCCTACTTTCATATATAGAGAGCATTAAACACTGCTAACTAATATTGCAGTTATTTTCTAAAATAAATGCTGCATTTAACCATAACAGCTACATTAATTCAGATCTTCCCACAATAACTGCCCATTAAATTGCAGTTAATACAATTACTAATTATTTATTTAAATAACTAACTCCTAAATACTACAAGAATAACTAACCACATTACATAACTGAATTACATCCATTACTTGTCTCTAACTGAAAATAAATTTCTATCAGTAGCCGTGTAGGAAGCCAAAAAATCCACATAAATATGAATGACCTACCCGATATTATCCAATAACAATTACTCCTAGAAATTATATCCTTTGCAGAAAATACATTTTTTCAACACTTATTTGTGCAATACAATTTGTACATTTTTTCTGCAGAAAATACAGATAGTAAAAAGACTCAAAAATCACTAGTCAAATGGAATACATTTTTTCTGCAGAAAATACAATACAAATCAAAAGGAAGTAAAGGATCCTCTTGTTAAATAAGACTTATGAAACATTCTCACATGAACAACTTTACCCTATAGATAAAACTAGAACCACTCCAATTGAACATCCCAGGAAAGGTGAGATTAAAAGGCGTAATATAAGATAGAACTATGGTCAGCAGGTCCCTCTGCCTATGATTTACACACTACGTATATGATGAGTACAACACAAACACAATATACAAAGAATTATAATAAAACATTATGAGCATATCTTGAAGGATAAGAATTTCTGACCATCTGCTGAATATAACATCTTCCACGAGATCTCTGCTAGAGAAAGGTTCCTTTAGGGGCTCGAAACATTCATGCATCACTGAAAGAGCAACGTTGAGTTTGCAGTAACTTTCTGCTAGCAATTCACTTTTAGCACTGCCAAGATTACAACTCTCAGAGTTGCTGAACTTCACTAGTGTCCAAGTTAGATTGCCCAAACCCACTGTAACTGGCACTCCTAACAGTTTGTTGAGGCCTTCATATATCTGCAAAAAATAGATATGAGAGTGTAGAGTAGAACTGGTGTAGTAAAAAAACCTTTTCTAGCAGCACATATATCAAAGACAGACAGCCTTATATGCTTCTCTGGCATTAAACAAATACCTTCTGCTTTTCAAGAAAATAAAGCCTCATAAATTCAATGAAATCACGTGTAACTGTTGACCAGAATCACATATGCAGAAGTATTGACAATACATACAATTTTGTTTCAATAAACGAGCAGTAAAATAATGCTTCGAATGAAAGTAAAAGCAGAATAAATTCAATAACAAAAAAAGGGAAAGAAAATCCTGGAAGTAAATAAAAAGGAACTGCTAATTTTTGGTGCAAAATATGACTAAAAATTTCTTAAAACTAGAAGAAATGAGGGAGGTGGATTTAATGTACCTTTTCACACTTTTTTCCACAGAACCAGTTTTCCTGATACCTTCTTGATTCATCCACAGCTCTACTTTTCACGCACCTAACATGATCTACATAAGATTGACAAAGATGACACCATAAGCATTGCAATGTTGATTTACATTATTACATATGTAGAAAAATACACACTCAAAAAGATATCCAGGCATGAACGAAATGTTAAAGTGAACATACATATTAGCGTACTTACATTTATTTTCACACTGAGTACAAGCAAGGAAATGTCCATCCTCATCTCCATTGATTTTGCTTTGGCCACAAATCCCGCAACGACACGATGGACAAAACCAGTCACCATCAGGGATATCCTATAGAGGAAAAATGAAACCAGCCCACGTAAATTGAAGTAATAAGTAAAAACAAGATAACATTAAATAAATATTGCATGATTGAGAAGGAAAAGGCTAATCTACCTCCAAACCGAGACATGTCTTGTGAAATGAAGACGGACATTGATCACATAAAATAAGTTCACCACCATAGTGGCAAACAGAACAAATGTAGTCATTCTCCCCTTGAAACAAACCATTGCATGGTTTTTCTTTAGTTTCCCTTATCCTATAATCTTGCATTATTTGAATCTGGCAATCTAAGAGTGACCTACCATAATCTTCCAAAAAGATATTAGCAGCAGGTCTGGGGGTACTACTACCACTAGCATGCTTTTCAAAGCCAACAAGACTGTAAACTGTCTGACAGCAGTTACATTTGATTCCATCACGAGTTATTCGCCCCTCAGCCATAGCACGGTACCGGCTTTTTTCCAGGTAATAAACCTTAGACCTTGGTAGCACTACATTGTGGTCTATCAACCAAGACAGAACATTTTGTGGCTTCTGGTGTGACAGAGAAGGGGTAGACACCTCTTGCACCCTTTTACTTGATCTAAGCACCCGTACAGGTAATCCATTCCTTTGGCGCTTAGGTAGGCTAGCCTTTGAATTACTCAAGCGTTTCCGCTTCCTATTTGCAGTAGATCCACTTGCAGCTACGCCATCTATGCCATGTAATGCAGGTTTCTCCGGAGGCAATTGGGATACTCTATTTAATAAATAACCATTCTGAACTTGATCAACATTTTCCTCATTAATGACTGAGTCATTTTCATTTACAAGTTGCATGCCAGAATTAGTCCATTTAGGAATGCTTTCTTTGATACAAAATCCGCATGCTGCATGGAGTGTCAGAAAAATTTTCTTTTGTGGACATATATATTTAATTCCCCTTCTTTTATTAGTTGGATGATGTTCCAAAGTCCATCCTTCTGCTAGCAGATGCTTCTTTGCTTTCTGTATCCATTTTCTTTTATCAGTCCTGTTCTTTTTGAATGCATTATAATATTCCACAACAGCTTGAGGACAAAACGCCGGTTCATCTGCAAATTCTGGTTCATCTACAACTTCAACAGGAGGAGGTGGCAAAGTTGCAAGAGAAGTATCTGGATCCTGAATCTTTTCGGATGGATTAAGAGGCACATGTGAAAGATGGGAGTCAAAGGTATGATGCATTATACTCTCATCATTTTGGGACATCAAGAAGTTTGTTTTGGAGTTATTTTGCATAACTTTACAAACTTTAGTGAGTGAGAGGTAAAACTTCTGGTCCTGTTCATCAGGTGACTTGTACCTGTAACGTTTATACCCACGAAATTTAGATGTCCACTCAATTTTCCATCCAAGGTATGCAAGATGTTTATGTACTTTTTTAGTCCAAAGTTTCCTAGTTGCTATGCTCTTAGAACCAAGTGCATATTGCTTAACAGCATCAGGACATAATTCAACTTCAGAAAACTTAAGAGGTTTCCAATGCCCGGACCTTGAACGAGTTGAGGATATATTTTCTCTATTATTCTCAAAACAGCTAGAACCTGAAACTTCTTCACCAGCATCATCAGGGGGGATTTCAGTTTGAAACTCTGATAAGACCTCTTCAAATGGAGGAAGAGGATCTTTCTGCATCAAAATTTCCTTTTCAGGTAATGTTGTGTTCAAGTCCCCATTAGCTACAGGTTCAACAGACTCCACCTCTGGTGTTTCATTGAATAAACTCCTTGGAAGGTTTAAGACTGAGAAAACTTCTTCTGCAGTAAGAGAAAAGTACTCATCAACAACATCCAATACCATGTCTCTCCATAAGTCCTTCACATTGAATGTCCACTCCCCAATCCTGTTAAAATCACTTTTTCCCCGTACATCATACCAAATCTGCTTTGCTGAAACTCCAACAAATGATGTCCTCTCACACTCCTCAATCAATTCAAGAAACACCCATTTCCCTCGCTGCTCCCACTTCTCTGCAACTTCATCCCAGTCCTGAGTAATCCGAAGTTGGTGAATTTCAACATTCATTTCATCACCCAAATCAGGGAAAAACACACTCCTCTCCTCCTTCTCATCATTGTGATCAAATATAACACCTTCCCACCAAGCTTCCTGATAGTTCACATCAACACACACACCAAATTTAAGGTTCCTTTTATCAAACTCAATCAAAGGAGGCACTGGCCTAATGAAACCGCGCTTATAGAAATCTGAAGAGCTACTTTGACCATCCAAAGCTTCAGAAACATTCACTAACTCCTCAAGATTATTAATCTCATCATCATCTAAGATATTATCATATCTGACAAGGCGCTTTAGCTTCTCACAATGGATAACTATCCCCGGGTGCCATGACCCCAGAAACCCATCCTCAACACTCCTCAACTGAAAATTTCAAAAGTCAAAACTTTTCAAATTCTAGAAAAGGAAATTCCAGATAAAAAAAAAATACACACTAATTTTAACTACAAAGTAGCTTTAAAAAAAAAAACATAGTGATCATGATGGAAATTTTTGAAAACTTAATATTATATTACCATAAACATTGCCACAAGTCAAAAAAGTACTTTGCAAGAACGACAAAGGGAACAATGCACAGCACAATAAACCGTGAAAAAAGGGGAAATTTTTTTTTTTGGTAGATAAAAAAAAAGGGAATTTAATAATGAAAACATCAATGGTATGTGTAATGTAGCCATCAAAATACAGTGACAACCAATCGTTGAAACTAATCAAAACCCAAGAATTAACAACAACAACAATGAAAACCAAATACTCACAAACTGAAACACATTGACAAGGATAGAAAAACAATTAAAAAAAAACAGCATCGTACAAAAGTTAAAGAATTGCGAAAATAAATAAATTAAAAAAGACCCCAGAAATTCCAATAACGAAAAGAACATTCTTTTTGTCAAGAAATTGATTACCTCAACACGTTCATTGATTCCAAAGAACATTTTCTTTTTGGCGAATCCTCCTTGAGGCTTCTTGCTTGGAGAATCCATCACTCCCTCTACAGCCATTGGATACTTTTCAGTTTTGAGAATGCCGCCTTTCACACGAAAGAACATATATTATAATCCTTTTATAGTAATTAAGACTCTTGTTTAATTTAACTTTTTATATTTAACATTAATTTGAAATTTGAAATATTATATAAAATTAACATATATATCTATATCCTGAGCATATGCACGTCGGACTTCTATATATATATTAATCATCAGCTGCTATACACATTCCATTGTTGCTTATGTGGCGATCTTTATGGGCCCACTTAGTGTAGCGATTGCCCCCACGTGATCTTTTACAGTCCTAGGTTATTTGTGCACGTGCAACTTTGAAAACCAAAACATGTGTACCCAATGGACTCCTGTCACAGCTTTTTCACATGTTCTGTCAATGTTATTAAATTCTGATTGTTAATTGATTGGTCAACGTATTGGATTAATACTTATATTCAGTAGTTGGATTGTTGCTTCAATTCCGCTAAATTAAATTTATATTAAATTAGTACATTATTCATGCGATCCATAGAAAAAAAAAATCAAAATTTTGTTGTTGATTAATCTCTAAAAAAATATTCAAAATTAATCTCTAAATTAGTACATTTTAAGTTAAATTTTTAATTTATTTTCTTTTAAAGTATAATTAAGTCTTTTTTTTTTGCAGTTAAATTTCAAATATTTTTTATCAACTTTACATATTTATTATAATTTTAAATATTTTTCATTTAAACTATAATTTTATATTATATTTAAATTTATTATATATATATTTTTCCCAGTGCAGAAAATTAAAATGCTAAAAGAAATTTACTATATATGTATATATATAATAAATTTATATATATATATATATATATATATGTTCAACTTCAGAAATTTCTTGAGGTCTTTTGGTTTTTTTGATAATTATGGGAAAAAGCATTCAATGGTTTTTAAAATGAGAGATAACAATTCCAATGCAGAAAATAATGGAAATTTAATACAATTGTCTCCTACTAAAAGATGGTAAACTATTTTTCCACCTATATCAACTTCAAATTTCAAATTTTAAAAAAGAAGTAAGATATTAATGCACCTGTCTGCCACTAATTCGCATGTAGAAAATAATGAGAATTTAATATAATTGTCTCCCATTAAAAGATGTTAAACTATTTTTCCATCTATATAACTTCAAATTTCGAACAAAAATGAAATAGGATATTAATGCACCTGTCCGCGCAAATTAATACTAAACTCTTTTCGCACTAATATTTAGTTTAAATATTTTAAATTTTGATTTGAAATAAAATGTTTTTCATTTATTTGTGTTTTTAATTTCTATATCTCGTATAATTATTTTTCATTTTTCATCTTATCATTATGAGCATTGACAACTACCATTTTTATAAGGATTTCATTCATATCTCATTCATCTTAGGATTAACTATTTCTCATTTTTATTAATGAAATTGGCAACTCATTATTAACATCAGCAATTAGACTTATTCGTAATATGTATATTAATTACTACTATTTTTTTGCAGTTAAATTTTAAATTTAAATTATTTTTTATCAGCTCTACATATATTTTTATAATTTTAAATATTTCTTCATTTAATGTATAATTTTATATTATATTTAAATTTATTATATATTTTTTTCTCACTACAAAAATATCAGCTCTACAAAAATATTTTTTTCATTCTCTTTTTGAATCATTCATTTTTTACAGTGATTAAATTTTTATAATTAGTTTTTTATAATTAGTTTTTTACTGAATGATAGATGTCATTTTTTTATTTCAATAAAAAATTTGAATTATTTTGTATTTTTTTGGTATCCAATTATTTTGTATTAATTATAAATATGTTTTGAAAAATTAATTTTATCTTTTAATTTATAATTTTTATATTGGTCATACATATAATTTAAAACAGTTATGTTAAAAAAAATACTTGTACGATTTTTTCTTTTCTTTTGTATTATTTTTTTAAGTTAAATTTTTAATTAATTTTATTTTAAAGTATAATTAAGTCATTTTTTTTGCAGTTAAATTTCAAATATTTTTATCAACTTTACTTATTTTTTATAATTTTAAATATTTTTCATTTAATCTATAATTTTATATTATATTTAAATTTATTATATATATTTTTCCCAGTGCAGAAACTTAAAATGCTAAAAGAAATTTACTATATATATATATATATATATATATATATATATATATATATATATATATATATATATATATATATATATATGTTCAACTTCAGAAATTTCTTGGGATCTTTTGGTTTTTTTGATAATTATGGGAAAAAGCATTCAATGGTTTTTAAAATGAGAGTTAACAATTCCAATGTAGAAAATAATGGAAATTTAATATAATTGTCTCCTACTAAAAGATGGTAAACTATTTTCCAACCTATATCAACTTCAAATTTCAAATTTTAAAAAAGAAGTAAGATATTAATGCACCTGTCTGCCACTAATTCGCATGTAGAAAATAATGAGAATTTAATATAATTGTCTCCCATTAAAAGATGTTAAACTATTTTCCCATTCAAAAACGAAATAGGATATTAATGCACCTGTCCGCGACTAATTAATACTAAACTCTTTTCGCACTAATATTTAGTTTAAATATTTTAAATTTTGATTTGAAATAAAATGTTTTTCATTTATTTGTGTTTTTAAATTCTATATCTCGTATAATTATTTTTTATTTTTCATCTTATCATTATGAGCATTGACAACTACCATTTTTATAAGGATTTCATTCATATCTCATTCATCTTAGGATTAACTATTTCTCATTTTTATTAATGAAATTGGCAACTCATTATTAACATCAGCAATTAGACTTATTCGTAATATGTATATTAATTACTACTATTTTTTTGCAGTTAAATTTTAAATTATTTTTTTATCAGCTCTACATATATTTTTATAATTTTAAATATTTTTTCATTTAATCTATAATTTTATATTATATTTAAATTTATTATATATTTTTTTCCCACTACAAAAATATTAAATGCTGAACTCTTCCAGTACTAATCAAGTTCAAAATTCAAATTTAAATAGTTTGAATTTCTGCATTTATCGCACTGCTATGCTATGACACTTTAATCTCAGAATTCGACTTACTATGCTATTTCATTGGAATTTTCCAATTCTTGCTTTAATTCGCAGAAGGATCCTTTCCCAAGATCTATTGGCTAATTTATATTTTTTTTTCCTAAGGTATACTCCAGCCGACAGCCGAAGACTAATCCTTTCGAGGCGGGAGATCACATTAAATGAGTAAACCTCTCCCAACAAAGCCTTTTCCATACGCACGACTCGGAATCGAACCCCTGTCAGCATGTTTAAGGAACTCAGCTATCTACCAATTGTGCTGGACTTTAATACCTCCTTGGATTTCTCTTTTTGGGCCCAATACATGCAAATCACACTTCACTCAGCCTAAATAAATCAGAAACCAAACCATTAAAATATACATAATTCAAAGCTAATAGCGGATTCCTGAATTAAAGTTTTAAACCCCTTCCAAAGATGGTATTAGGAAAGATCGAACACATACTCTCAACCCCTACCTACTCAGTTCTCTGACACCAACTGAACTTTTATCATTTGATTCTTCATCCTTTCCTGTGTTGGTGGATCTATTCTAAGTTCTTATCCTTTCTAATAGCAAATTATAATAGTAAACTATAAAAATACATAAAAATGCAGCAGTTATGCTTAGGGTTAAGAAGGGAAAAAGCAAAACAAGAAAAAGTAGCACATACCTCTTTTCTATTTACTCTCATAATTGATGGCATGAGAGTACTCCGTTCTAGCCCTGGAAAAGAAAAAAACCAAATCATATCATTTACAGAAAGAATTTTGCTTATATTCATATATGCTAATATGCATCATTTCATATATTGTGTATCCTGTATGGTCATTGCTTACACTACTGGACCGATATAGAACCTCAACATGATGAGCGAATGTAAAATTCATAACCATCAGAAAATAACAACCCGCACATGCTTTCAGACTCAAGAGTTGCAGGTGAATAATAGATGACGCATGGGTAGAGGCACACCTTGCACTTTGAGCAACCAGTCCGTAAAGAACCGCAGGCCATGCCAAGCCACGAATCTATCAAGACAATATCTCTTTTTAAGTCAAAGGTCTAAGAATCAATCTGAGAATTAGGTGCAAAACTATTAGTGCAAAATCTTAAAAAACCTCAGGTAAGAACCAAAAATAATAGCATTATTTTGGAACCCAAGGGCAGCAGTTCTACACAGATACACCATCTCATAGTGTTATATATAGCTGCCAAGTACAAAGATTTTCAAAGACTACCATTATGTAAGTAACCATATAAAATCACAAAGGTCAAATTTTAGAATAATATTCACAATTTCACATCATTCCCTTTCATGATTACACAAAATGGTCATGCTATCAAATGCAGGTACCAAAAAAAAATTACCAGATTGAGAAAATATTCACAATTTCACATCATTCTCTTTCATGATTACACAGAATGGTCATGTTATCAAATACAGGTACCAGATTGAGAAAAATACCTGAATTATTGGATCCAGTATAGCAGATATAACTGGATCAAAAGCAGGTTTTTGGCCAGAAGCAGGAACCATCGTGCTGTTGTAGTTGTCAATAATTTAATTTCTATTAAAAAAAGTAACTTTTGTAATCCACAAAAATACAAAAATTCTATAAAAAAACAAATACAAAATCAACTCAAGAAAACTATTTGCAGTAATTTGATTAACTCAATCATCTCAAGAAAATTGATTTGCAATAATTTGATTTACTCAATCAAATCAATAAAAATAATTTGCAGTAATTTGATTTTCTCAATCAACTCTAGAAAATTGATTTGCAGTAATTTGATTTACTTAATCAAATCAGTAAAACTAATTTGCAGTTCTTAAAAAGCGACAAAAATATATACCTGATAGACTGTAGTTGCAGCTTCTGGCGCTCTTGTTCAGAGAGAATGGCAAAGGGAGTTTGATTCCCTTTGACAAGGGTGGTGGGTGCGAACTTCTTCTTCTGTCGAAAGTGAAGCTCATCAAGGGTTTGAGCATTCAGCGGAAAATTCTTCTAAATATAGACAAAAATTTACACGTGATCATATGTCATATTATAAGCTCTTGTACTTAAGAGGTTATATAATAATAATAATAACAATATCAAATAAAATTCGTAAAGTATGCATGAAATTTACTAGCCGACAAAATTAAACTAACTCTCACATAAAAGAATTTGTAATAAATGTTGAGGATCCATACCTGGAGCTTGCAAATTCGTAAAGTTTTCCTCTTGGAGAGAAGATAATAAGAGCTACCTCAGCATCACAAAGAACAGATAGTTCAAAAGCCTTCTTCAGCAACCCATTACGCCGCTTTGAGAAAGTGACTTGTCTTCTTGTGGCGTTCTCTATGCGCCTCATCTGAGTCTTTCCTCTCACCATCTCTACTTCTTGATCTGTTATGAATCCAACCACACCACACAGAGAAATTAAATGTATATGAAATTCAGAAAATGCTTGTCTAATAGTAAATTGAAACAAGTACACACACTACAGAAAAAACAGAGCGCACACATAGAAGGCTTAATGAAACTAGTGTGAGAAATGAAAAAACAAAGAGAGCTTGCAGAGAACATGAATAAAAAACAATCAGAATCGCAAATATCTTGTAACATAGGAAGGTAAATTTCAGGAAATATATTACCTTTGCGTGTGCGCTTCAGGCCTTTCATATTAGCTCTCTCCAAAATCCTTTACCATCCAACAATTTCTAAGCTGATTTCACATAGCAATAAAAAATGATAAGGATACCAACAAGGACTTTAGCAGATGGATTATCAATATGGAGGGACTTCAAGATTGTAGCACCATCATTAGTGACAAAAACTTCACGTCCTCTACTAGTTGACTGCAAAATTTGATCCTGCAGTTATCACATCCAAGATATATGAATTAGTTAACAGTAAAAAATAAAATCATTTAGTGAAGAGGAGTTTTTACCATTCCCTTTGGCCCTAAGGTAGTCTTCACTAAGTCAGCAATAGCCATGGCTCCAACAAAAGATGCCTGCATGAGACCAAAACATACAGCACATGTAGTTAAAGTTAAGAAACTTTCCCGAGACTCTAATTCATACAGTCTAAAAATCAACAATCACAGATATGGCAGCCTACGCTACTCTAATACGGATCATGGAAAAGATAGAATTATAATACTCCATACAAACATTAATAAAAATATAAAAAAGATAGATTGCACAAAAGTAATTACCTCACTAGAAAGTGGATCTTTTTGCTTCACAACATTCAACACAGCCATTATTTGCCGTTTTTCTTGTAGTGACATCTGAGTGATGCCAGAAGGACTTGAGTAAAGTTTTGTTTCCCTCGCTATTAGATATAAGTAGCTCAACACCCAAGTAGCACCTACAAAATTAAGACAGTCAAAAAACAGCTCTGTTAGAGCACATGGAAATGGCCTAACTCCTATAATTTTATAATCCTATCTATCTTCTTAAGATAAGCCAAAACCTGTGTTACGTACGTTGCTCTTTTTCATGAACAAATAATCATGACAAATCAATAAAATGGAAATGGTGTTAATTTCACAAGTACATGGGCGTTGTTGCTCTTTATCAAATTGACCAATCCAAATTCTTTGAGTACTCTCAGCTTTTAATGATGTTCATATATGTTTCACCCTTTTACTTTTTTAAAGCTGCAAATATTCATTCCCCATATGAAAAATATCATCCCCAATCCAACATCGATTGATACTGCAGTTTCGAAAGACATTTCTGGTTTTTGACTTCTAACAAAACTCATGCACTATATGACTATTGACTAGTACTTTTCCTCACCCTATAGACTTGTAATTTGTCGAGTTTATATGTTCACATTACCATTATTAAATTCAAACATCTTCCATAATATCTGACCCATATAATTGAAAAAAAATTAACCCAATGAGTTGTTACTAGTACCCAGAAAATTTAACCCAATTGTCATTTTACAGCATGCCTACTTCTAGAAGCTAGATTGCAATACGGATTAGTCAGTCCAAAAACAACCCTCATGATGGGTGGTTATAATCTCCAAATTAAAGTAATCTTGATAATTTTTAGAGTGACACAAAGAGTAAAATGAAGTTCCCTCACTTTTTCCTCTTTTGGTTTTTCTTTTCAATAAACACCCTCATTTTTATTTTATTTTTGAAGTATGAATTATCATTACCTGATTTTGCTTTACTAATCAATTATATTTATGGTCAAAAAATGTCATTTCAAAAACAATCCAAAATTATTTCAAGGCAGGTATTCTTTTGACATTCATTAACACTCTTTAACTTCACGAAATATATCATTACCTGAGTGAACTTTCATGGTTTGGAAACACAGGTGTCCAACCTTAAGCGTGAGATAAGAAAAAAAAAAATAAATAATGTTATAATTTCTTAAAGCCTAATGGTTTTGACCTTGTTCCACTTCAACTTAACATTAAATTCTCTACTTAATAAAAAAATATGAACCTTATTACTGCACTAAAAAAGAGCCATTCTTATTTAGAGCCATTCTAAATAGATTTCAGGGGCACATTAACTAAACAGGCACTTATTCGTCGGTGATGATGAAATTTACCAAAATAGGCATGACCGAAAAGAAGAGTCAAGAGAGTACAGTACCTGAAGGCAAACCCCAATGGCGGTGAACTTGACGAAATTGTCCTTGATTTGCAGGCCCCTGACCCCTGCGCCACCAAGGAAGAAGCTGTTGGCGGAGGACGGAACCTTGACGGTGGGAGGGAAAGTCACATTGTCGACCTGCACGGCGGTGACATACGATGGTGCCATTGATGGTGATACTGTGTGAAAATTAACAAATGAATAAGACATTTTTACAAGCATTTTGTCTACGAAAAACAACGAAAAAGAGAAAGATAGATATAAAGAGACACCCACATTCTTCACGACGGAGAGAGTCTCCAATGCATACCTTTCAGATCTGTGTGATTGAGAGTATAAAATAATTTTTTTTCAGATCTGGAAACGTGAGATGATGGAAACGAAGACAATAGTCATTGTATTTGAATGGCCTTTCAGATCTGTTTGCAATGTGTGTTAAAAGAAACAAAGTTAGTCTTCTGCGTTGGGAATGGTTTAGAGTTTCAATGTGGAATGCATTATTCTTATCATTATAATGCATTATAATTCTCTAACATGAGATTTAAATTTTCTTGGACACTCTTCGATTTTCGTGTTAATATGGGTCTTAGATATAATTTTTTCTAATACATGAGTCTCACATGCTTTTTATCTCTACAACATGAGAATTGAATTCTCATTACATGAGAAAATCAAACCCCTATTTCTAATTACTTGATTGTTTCTAGAAAATAAAATTTTAAAATCAGCGGCTTTTCGTATAACCGACTCCAAGAAACCGCCCTTGAAATTAGTTTTTGCTGTAGAATGTGAGACGCTTTAAATGTTAATTAAACACATCCATAAACAAGTATTGAATATTGATAAAAATATATATAAAATTAATTAAAATCATGCATAAACATGTATTAAATGTCATTTTATAAGACCAAGCACTTACATCATAGAAGAATGATTACAATTATATATAACAATTTTATCACATTTCCTCCATCATATAGGATCAGATCCCGGAAATTTTTTTAATATAGTTCGCTACACCTATTTATTAAAATAGGTATTTTTTTTTCATTTTAACCTTTATATATATATTCTTCTCTATGTCCCACAAACTTTTCTCATTTAATCAGGGTGTATGTAAACCCGTTGTACAGAAAGTTTACTCTCAATTCACACCGCTTAAGAGACTATAAAAGCGTGTGAGAATGTGATTAATCTAACAAATCTAAGTTAGTCACAATTGGGTCAATAATAACACATTTAAAATGAAAAATCCCTAAATTATACCCCACTAAAATTTTGTATTAATACTTTTAAAACAGAGTAAGATTGATTGATCTCTACCAAAAAAAAAAAGAGTAAGATTGATTGATTTTTTTTAGGGAAAAATTCACCAATAGCCCTGTGGTTTACTTCAGAATCATTTATGCCCCTGTGATTTTTTTCTTATCACATATTCCTCTGTGGTTTGTAAAAGGGTATGTTTTTTATCACATAAATCCATGTGGTTTCTTTTTTTTAACAAAGCACAGGGACATATAGTGTCAGGGTCGTGTCAAATAGTGTACGGGTCAAAAACGTGTCGTGTCGTTTCGTGTCGGGTTGACCCGTATTGCCACCCGTAGGTTAGGGTATCCAAAACTTGTGTTCTTCATTTAACTCTGTTATGAGCACCTGTTCTGAATTTCATTGGACATTTTAGACCCGTTGGACTGTGATTAGACACAAATTGAAAACAAGAAGGTAAAAGATATTTGTTCCTTCATTTGGTAAACAAGAAAACAGCAATAATTACGTAAACGGTTCACAACATGATGGGAACATCAAATAGTTCATTTCATAACCATAATATTACATAAACTACAAATGTCAAATAGGAAGACCGAAGTCAATTACATAACAACATACACTACAAACGTAAAATAGAAACATAAACCCTAAATCTAATCCTCATCCTCCTCGGACGCCGTCTCCTCGTCATCCTCATCTGACACATCAGCCCCCTGCCCTGCAACATCCTCAATCTGTTGTCCTCGTCCAAGCTCTATACGAGCAAGCCTATCTTCAACACCCTTGAACCGTCCCTGTATATGTCTAAATCTTTCATTTCCCTTCTGCACGTGACTCTTCCTCCATTTTTTGTGTTTCAGCGCCATTTTTCCTATTTTCTTCAGCGTGGCGTTTATGCCCTTCATGACATCACGTGATGAAAACCCACCCTCAGGCTCAGCTATCTCCTGCTGGTCACCCTCATCATCATCGTCATCATCATCCTCCACCTCGGGCTCAACCATGTCTACAACTGGAGCAACATCAGGAACCTCAACATCAGCCGCACCTGTGAACTGCCACACTCCTGTTTGGGGTTCTTTGTCATCTTGCACTGCTCCAGTAGACGTTTTCCAAACTTATGATTATACCCTGTTGTCTTCTTCAAGGTCACATTACCCATGGGAACATCAAAATGCTCCAATATCCTCTGAACAAGACAAGCAAATGGAAGTGCACCCTTGTGTTTGGCCTTATACATCATCCAACAGATGTAGTGCCTCCAGTTCACCGAAGTACCATGTCGGATAGCCCACATGATGGGAATGTCATGCTCCAACACCCTGGAATGAT